CATGGCCGTGAGGTTACAAAGAGAAAGTCCACGAAGAGAATCTGCCAATGTTACGTAGGACCTAATGCAATGTTCAGCTTGAAAAGTATTAAGCTGTGGCCTAGTGATTATCGAAGACATCATATCAAGAAGACTGGCAACTTTCCCAGAATCCAAGCGACAGATACAATAGCGCTGCGCTTGAGTGAAGGTGGAAGCAACGCATAGAAAAATAAGCAAATACACAAACCTTTCCTCTGAGGATGTAATCTTTGATTCGTTCGAAGCATTTACTTTTGAGCAGTAGATGACGCAAATGTACCTATCTCATAACATTCGTATGAGAAAATGGAAGAGTTGCCAGTTTTATTGTCTTTGTGATTATGGTAAACAAGCACTTAACAAACAAAACAGTGTTTTCGCTTCAAAACTGTGATTCTTTTTGAAATATGGTACGCATCATTTTTGGACAGGTATGTTTAAAGTATTTGAACAATTATTTGAATTCGAACATGCATATAAAGTTAATTACAACAGAATAAGGACACTCACTTTTTTGTTTGAGCCTAATTCCGTTGGTTCCATTTCGTGATTTCGTGATTGGCCTATTTGAAGTGCGTAAGATAGAGATAGAGATAGATATAGATAGGGATAGAGCTAAAAGAGTAAGAAGCCAGTTGTCTCCTCTTCCTCTTAGATGAATACTTACTGTTGACAGCTGAATGAAAACTGCGCCACCTTGATGTTTATTGCCCTTTGAATATCTCATTTGAAATGAAGGTTACGGAGTTTTACACATGCGGAGATTCAAGGTTGAATGTCTTTCTGGGTGTTAATTCCAAAAAATGCTGAAGAGGATTTCTTAAAAATATGGAGGAAAATGTGAAGCAGCTCTGACCAAGATAATTTTGTGATAAAATCCTAAGAAATTCTGAAATGAATTCCAAGGGATTTCTTTGGAGTTAAGAAAGGAAGCTTTGAATTGAATTTCTACACGGTAAGAAAAAAGTACCAAAAAGTAATGAAGTAATGAAATTGGGTTGCTAGTGGAATGCTTATATAAAACAGCAAAAAAGGTTATCTTCCTTTTAATTCCACTTAATTAATTTTAGTATCCATGACAGATACGTATTTCAACTAAAATGTGCAGTATTCATCAGTGTCATTCCCACTAAAGAACTAACCCCCTTAAGTTCTCATCCCATAGGTAAAAAAGTCAACACAGGTATAAAAATGAAACTAAAATGTGTTAAATCGAAACCTACTTAACTAATAAAAACCAAGGATTCCGAGATAATTTTTAGTATGTAATATAAATATTGTTTGAGATGTTATGGGAAAAGAACCTCGCAATGTTGAATAACAGAACACTAATAAACATAAACCTTCAAATTTATTATGAAAACTGGTTTAATTTTATGCCACGATTAGTTTAAAGAACTGTTATATCACAGACAAACAGACATAACACTTGCAAATTGTTCATCGAACAAGCATTTAACGGTCAATTTAAAAGTATCGTAGTTGGTAGTACCGCCACCTGTGGCGCGCATAGTCAATTCCCTTGCGTTTGACGTTTACACACTACCGCCATCTGTTCAGCGTACTACCCACCACTGTGTATTCAACAGATGGCGGTAATGTTTTAGCGACGATGTTTTATAGTGAGAAATATTCAATGAGTTATGTCTGTTTGTCTGTGGTTATATAGTGTTATAAGCAGTTTTCATGATACTAGAACAATGTTTCACAATTGACCACTTTGTCAAGTAGTTTTGGCGTGACTTTCTACCAGCGATTTCACAAAACTGGACCAACTAATTTCTATTTTTTTTATGAAACGCACAAATGTTGGATACTTTTCTCGAGGTTCTAGAAGAAAAAATCTTGAAATAATGTTTTATTTCAAAGTTCGAGTGGTAGTAAACGTCATTTTAACTGCTCGAATGAAGTGGTTAATTCAGTACTAACATTTGAAAACGGCGCAAAAGCCATTTGTAAACAAATGGTTTGTGGGCCCTTTACTCGCTACTCGAAGTACACCCACGCAACACAACAGCTACATCGGGTAGGGGAAATCTTCCCCTTCCTGACGATGCTGTTGGTTTGCGTGGGTGTACTTCGAGTAGCGAGTAAAGGGCCCACAAACCATTTGTTTACAAATGGCTTTTGCGCCGTTTTCAAATGTTAGTACTGAATTGTTCTGGAATCTTGTTAACAGCTTATAGCACGTTACAACTATCCAGCTTTGCATGCTCGGTAATGGCGGCCTGTTTGTATGAATAAATGTATCCTTTACTGTGCTTTTTGACACTAACTGGAGGGCGTATGTTGTTTCATTTTCTTCTGTTCCTGCGAGAGAGAAAGGGAAGGGGTTGAAATTCGAACATCCAGATAGTGTCAAAAAGCACAGTGAAGGATACATTTATTCATACAAACAGGCCGCCATTACCGAGCATGGAAAACTGGATAGTCGCTAAAATCTCGGAAACCAACTGAGCTGTCAAATAGCGTAACCAATCGAGCAAATCACGACCAACAACCGAAAAGAGCACATCAGCTATTGCGAACAAAACTTCGGAAACCCTTTTCTCGTGACTCAAGGCTCGCCTGCGCAAACTAACACCATCTTTTGGTTGGGGCAAGTTTTCCCTATGCGATGATGATGATGATAATTTGCGTTCGATAGGAGAGGAAAGAATAATCAACGTTTTGTTTATAAAAGTTGATAGTACCTTTTCAATTGTTGGTCTACAATATATTGAATTGATTCCGGTTTTTTATAGATCGAAATTCTATCCGCCAGACTATAAATATAGCAACTATAGTTACAACACAAGTTACAACTCCTTAGTTTGAATATGAGTCAAGGGAAATCAATCTAAGTTGTCTATGATTTAAAAATTTTAAAGTTTTTTTATTTGAAATTGATTATTACTAAGCCACTTGGAAAAGTAACAAATGTGATCAAACTTTTTTTTTTTTTTATTATAGTCAGTTTAACACTCTTGGGTCATTCGTGACTTGTCCGGGGGTGAGATTTGAACTCGTGACTTTGGCGTGAGAGGTTTGGATGTTAACCACTACGCCGGGGTCGCCCCCTGTGATCAAACTTTTTTCTGTCCTAGAAAGTCGTGTTGCATAATAACAAATGCTTCTTAATGAAAAAATATTATTGATTGTATAACATCATCCATAAAGCACTATCGCCATCTGTTGACTACACTGTGGAAGGCACTGTGCTCAACAGATGGCGGTAGTGTTCAAAATTCAAATTAAATAGTAGATGGCTATTTTTCTTTTTTTTTTATTATTCGATTTGATAAAAAAATATTTGATTCTACATCTAAATTCATGTAATAGCCAATTTTGTGACAGGCATGATCTTTAATATTATATACAATAGACTGGCCCACATTTATATGGGAGATTTTCTTTATCATTTTTTTTTTCAACGGGCCAACCCCCAGATTTGTGCCCCTAGGTAGGTGTAACACGAGCTAGCGCTTTTGGCTTAAAGTTTATATGGGGATTTTTTTTTCGAAATGTATGGAGAGATAACATCCCTTCAATCTTTTGTGCATAAACTGGATCAGCAAACTCGTTTAAGCTCAGAATTTCAGCACATGTAGCTTAAATAAGGAACAACTTTGCTCAAGACAGCATCATGATTCAAGTTAGTATTATGGAGATATTAATTCATGAATTTATGTGTGCCTTTTGTTCGTATATTGCAACAACATACAGGCAGCTTACGTTACAGTTGATACGTTACATAAGCTGCCTGTATTTTGTTGCAATATACGCTTATATAGATTACCACTAATTATATAGATTAACACGCTTTATAGATTACCACTAAAAAATAAAAGTTGATATTTTCCACATGCCAACATCCAGACTCGTGTCAGTAGGTGAGATAACCACTCTCTGAATGTTTCAGCTGTTTTTGAAGTAACACTTGCTTTTGATGTAATGTTCATATAGGGGGTTTGGATGAAATTTTAATATACAAAATGCTCATATACATTCAAATACGAATATCTCAATAAAACTAACTGGATTCATAAGCCTTCAGCAAAGTTGTTACTCATTGTTTGAACTACATGTTTTGAAAATCTGAATCAAATCGAGAATAGGGAAACTTTTTTTACCATAGTTAGAGTGTAGGAGTGTCAATTTTTCATGTATTTTATCCAAAATCCCCATACAAAATTCTCACCTAAAGGCATACATCTAGAGGTTGGCTCGTGGAAAATTAGAACTTTTATTTTTGTGGGTCAGTTTAATATACAATCGATTGAGTTGAAAATTCAAGAATATCCACAAATTTTTAGTATACACTGTGTGAGTTAACATTTGATAGTTGTGAAAATTCTAAGAATTATGAATAGTTTACCAACTTTTATTATTTTTTTTTCGTTGCACAATCATGTGCAGACAGCCTTCAGCAAATCAGCTTCACGATTACCGCTTTCCGATGCACGATTGCGTGATAATATAGACGCAGGTTTCGTTCTTCTAAATAACCAGTAATTAATGTTGATAAGCGTGATAGGAACTTTCGTACCAATATCAGAGCATGATAATGCAGAAAGCAAACCAACAAATGCTGTCGCGACAAAAAATTGTAAACCACCTTTAATTTTCAACCAGACACTAATACCGTTTACAATTTTCCTTGCGGTGCTTGATTGTTCATTGTCACCGTCTGCTGATGGTTTATCGTACCAGACGGTTGGTGTTTCCATTTCTAATAATGATTGATAACGATATGGCAATGGTTTTCAACCATTTTTTTATGTTATCAGTTACTGACAGCTTGTGTTTCAAAAACCAATTTCAACACACATGGTTTTTTCTCTTACCTAGTATTACATTAACTTACTTTATTGATCTTAGTAAACTTGACAGAACATTCATAAAAAAAAGAAGGGGGACACCATCTTCATACCATGTTTAGGATTATCCTAAACGCTGGAGAAACAATTCAATGCTCCTCGATCCTTTTTTGAAGCCACAGTCTCATCCCTCGAAGAAAAACAGAAAATTACTCGTCTTATCAGAATTTCAAACTAAACCCAGGCCCCATGGCCATCTGCCGTGATTCTGCGTAGGTTCCACCCAAATGAAAACCAGAGCTTTCAGCCACAGGATCATCACCCTGTAAATAAAATTCCGTTAGTAAAAAAAAACCATCAGCAGTCCTTCCGGTTCATATTCTTACCAGTTTCTTAAATTCGCCACCTCCACTCGGTGGCTTGGGACTGGAAGCGAGAGCCTTCTTCAGGCCCAGCTCACTTTTGGCCGGCCATGTCGGGAACATTGCCGGATCGATGGGAAGCGGCAGTTCTTTGAAGTAGCTGTGCTTGAGGGCCACTTCCGCCGTTAATCGCTGTTTGGGATCGAAGGTTAGCAGTCCCTGCAGAAGCGAGATACCCAACTCGCTGGTTTGGTGTGAGAAACGTTTCCGCAGATTCGACACGGGATATTCGGTGAATGTCATCTTTTGAACGGCAGGAAGTTGGTTGTAGCCGGGCCAGATTTTCTCGTTCGGTGTGCCAAGTTCTTTGAAAATGCGATTCAGTTGATCGAGCTCTGTTTTACCTGGGAAGAGGGCGGTCATAGCAAGGAACTCGGCGAAAATGCAACCGACAGACCAGATGTCAATCGGGGTAGAGTATTCTTTACAGCAGAGGAGCAGCTCTGGCGCCCGGTACCATAAAGTTACCACGATCGAAGTGTATGCCTTCAAGGGAGACCCGTACTCTCTAGCGAGACCGAAGTCACCCACCTTGAGAATGCCTTTATGCGAAAGTAGGAGGTTAGATGTTTTTAGATCACGATGAAGAATCCAGTTGTCGTGAAGATGCGCTACAGCACGCAACAATTGCTGGGTCAAACATTTGACCTCACCTGGGAGGAATACTTGCTTCTTGTGCTTCATAGTTTCCATCAGTGATTTTAAATCATGCTCAACGTAGTCCATTACTATGAAAATTTTATCCATATTACTACCAACTACGATTTCCCGCACTGTCACGATGTTTGGATGTTGCCCTTTGAGCAGCGTATTGATTTCTCTTAGTGAAGTAATCGGGAAGCCTTCCTTCTCCTTCTCCATCTTGAGTCGTTTCAAGGCGACAATCTCTTCGGTGCGTTTATCCTTAGCACGATACACCACTCCGTAGGTGCCTTCTTCAATTCGATTGAGACATTGAAATTCCTCCACGGAGCGACACCCCTGAATTCCCGGAAAGTATGGTGGGAGTCGTTCCTCTTCTTCCACCTCAACTGGTGGAGATTTCGGCTCGACCTTATCTCCAGACTTTGATGGCCCATCTCCAGTTTCGTGGTCAGACCTGGGCGATACACTGCGACTGCTTTCGTGGCGACGACGAGGACTACGGGATCGACTTCTACTCGACCCGGAACCGGATCGAGAACGCGTCGATCGTGATCTTGAACGATACCTCGAGCCAGATCGAGATCGTGATTCACTTCTGTCTCTTCTATCCGATTTGACTAAGTCGCCCACCGACAATGGACTGTCCGGTGGTTTCTCTTCATCTTCAGATACATCGCGAGAGTCATCATTGCCGCTGCTTGAGGATGAACTGTCCGAATTGGTATCGTCGTCTTCCTCTTCGGAGTTCATTTCCCTGTCCGAATGATCGGAATTTGCATGTCTTTTAGCCTTCTTCTTTGTCGTTTTCGTCTTTTCTTCCCCTGCACTTTCCATCGTATCATCATTTTCTAAAAGCGATTGTTTCTTCGATTTCCTTTCATCCGGTGAATCTGAACCCTTACGCTCCCGCCTCATAAGCCGTCTGCTTTCTAATTCATCTCTAGCAGCTTCCTTACGGCGAGCCATCTGACGTTCTGCCTCCAAAAGTTTTGCTCTCCGTTCATCATGCTCTTTATCTTTAACTTCCGGTGTAACCTTTGTAGCTTGCTCATTATGCTCCGGACTTTCCATGATTTCAACATATTCAGTTTCGATGCGTTCCTTTCGTTCGCGGTGACGATGATGATGACGGTGGCTTTTCTCCTTCCTACTTTCGCCTTCGTGTTGAACCTGATCCTCCTGCTGCTTGGAAGAATCGTACTTGCTTTTCTTGTGCAATAATCTCGTCCTCAAATCTTCCAGCAGCTTAACCGGATCCTGTTTTTCTGTGTCCTTCTCGCGCTTTTCGTGTTCTTTCTCGTAGTACTCCCGGTCCCGCTCCTTTTTGCTCTGGTAAGTCTCTCGAATCTCCCCATAGAATGGGTTCAACTCGTACCGATTATCCCTGGAATGATGCCCCGTGGAAGACGAGTGATACCGTTCTTTTTCGTGGCCTCGTTCTCGCGTACGTTCCATCCTGACTTCTTTCTGGTAACGATCGCGCTCCCGCTCCCGATGCCCTCTGTAACCTTCCCGTCTCGATTCCGAATAGTGGTCTCGGCCTGCGGTAGTCGCATGACGGTAATGTTCCTTGGAATGCTTGGACTTTTTCTCCTTCCGCTTAGCATAGTAACCGACAGCCGTAGCCTGCGGCGGCTTGATGTCCAAGGAATCTGTCGTTTCCTCTTCACCGCCACTGGAAAAGATGGGGAATTTTTTTTTGCAACATCTATTACGCATTCTAGCGAAACCTACCTCAAACCGTCCGGACTGATCAGTTGCCCGTCTTCGCTGTTGTCACTAACACTCATGGTAAGTTTTAAAGGTAGAAAACTATGGAAAAATGTATGATTTTTCCACAAAGTTAAATTTTGTCGAAACTACGCTGTTTTGTTGTGGCGCATCAAACGATTGATCGTGACAGTTTCTACAGTGAGTGACCGACCGGGGAGAGCTCCACCGAGTTGCACGCTCGTTTGGCAGTGAGTGACGGATCGGCTCGCGATGTCAAATGAAATGTGCCACCTGGACACGCGGTGGTTAAAATTAAATTTTTCTTGAGAAAAAAAGTTTGGAATTAATGGTTTTGTTTAGCTACTTGGATAAAAAATGACCATAAAATTACAATAAACTACAATACATAAAATTACAATAAACTACAATTTATTGTAATGAGCTCTGTAATGAGTTCAAATTTGTTCGAGAACATTTTTTTTTGTTACGGTAACTAACAACCACCATTTTATATTGTTAAATTCTCATTTACAATAGATACCTATATATAACAATAGCTAAAAATATTGTGTACGATACCTCTCACAAACCAAAACGACTTAAAATTTCATAGACAAAAATGCTCACAATACTGTTAAGAGTGTTTTAAGAATAATTATTATCATCAGAATTTTCATTGGATTCTTCTGAGAATTCCTTTTGGATTTTCCTTCGTCACTTGGAAACATATTATGAAAATCGTAATTCTAGTTTCCTCAGTCTACTTACAAGTACCTTCGAGTTTTCCTTAGAATTCACTTTCAGTTGAATTCAGGCAGAACTCTCTTTGAATTGCCTTGAAATGCTCCACAGAATTCTATTGTTTATTTACTTTGATTCCTACTCAGGATTTGCTTGGAACCCAACAAACAATTTGAGCTGTTTAAAGGTTGAATAAGCTATTTTTTAGCTAAAGAAGCAAATTTTTGACTGAATAAGCTCTTGTTCTGCTTCCAATGTTTGTTGGCAATCCTCTTACTTTTCACCTGGAGTATGGAGTTCCTCAGATTTCGCTTTCGTAAGAATGAATCCTTTGATATTTTCCTCTGATTTCCCTTAAAATCTAGAGATTTTTGGAAGTTCTCATTACCTTGCACCTTAATTTAGTTGAAACTTGTGATCTTGGAATTAATTTTGTGTTCGTGGTTTGAATATTTATTTTCTTTTCAGATTCTAGAAAATTTCTCAAAATTTGATTTCATTAGGTCTAAGCTTTAAAAAAGTATGAATCTTAAAATCTGTAGAAATTATCCCTGTTCCAGAACCTTAGGAAACACAATTCAATTAATGTTGTTACTGAAGATAAATCCACTCCAGAATTATTATGTTCAAAGAGTAAAACTCACTAACGATCGTTCCTCGTATTATAACATATTTTCAAATTCCTGAGCAGGTTTTCTGACGAATTCAATATATTCTATTCCTATGTTTTATGCATAAACGCATATGATTGAGGATTCCAGTTTTTTCAGGTAAAACAAAATTCGCTGTAGATTCTAGATTTTCCAGGTAGTAAACGCTCTGTTTTAAAATCTCTTGGACTTATAATTTAGACTTAAAGATTTTTGAATTAAAAATAAGTACCGTAGAACAGGGTAACATTGATAGTTTTTTTTAAAGTATATTCTAAATATTTTTTACAGCAATGAATGTTTTTCAATTTTTTTTTATTTTCAAAACAAGTACTGAAGATCCAATAGTCAATTCGAAATTATAGCATTTGCACGATTTTTTTTAGTTTTGTGACCGAACTTCAGTTTTTTGATTTGGGGTTACTTTGATAATTCTCGATGAATGTAGAAAAAACTGGGTGAAACTCAAACAATTTAGTTCTTTAATATGAAACTTTGAATGAGTATATAATCAGAAAACATCATAAGCAATAAGAATACAACATTGAATGTGTGATGGAAATATCAAAAATACATTTCATAAGTGATGGTTTGAGTGCTTTTTCAAACAGGTGAAAAACACGAAAATTGTTTTTTTTTAATATGTTTAAAATATGTAACACATATTATATAAAAACTACATACGCTATCAACGGAAATACCCTAAGCTACAATATGGAACTAATGTTTCTAATTTGTAAAAAGTGCAGCGAATAAATTTAATCTTTACATTATACTATCAAAGATACCCCGTTTTACGGTACAACAAACTTCCAATCATCTTTCCTCACAAAAAAAAAAACTAAGGTGATAATAGGGTTCATAAGTCAGAAATCTATAGAACGGCCATGTTCTTTCATAATTCAGGTTGATTTAATTTTTCAATTATAAATAATTCATTATTTGACTAGATATTGATCACACTAGGAGGCTCTTACTGCCATTTCTGGATTCCATTCGTCAAGTAGCGACACCATCATTTTCCACATGATGTTCTTTTCGGGATCATCCACTAGTACCAGTTTCAAACTCGGTAACCGATAGAGGCAGTGCAACCCCCTATCAGTGACAGCCGTTCCCCGCAGATTCAGCACTTCCAATGCGGGGAAGGAGTTGCCGGAGACTCGATCCAAATACCAATCGTCAAACTTGGCTACATTTTCAAACGACAAATGCTTGAGATAACGCAACCGGCGTATATTTTCCAGGCCTTCGTAGAACAGGTTCATGTTGTCACACTTGACTTCCTCTAGCACTAAGTTTGGTATGTAGTGTCTTGGTAAATTGTAGTCCTCGTCCTTGTCCATCTTCATCCATTCCTTTTGACCTCGGAACCTTCATTAAGGAAAGAGTAATGTAATGGCTTAGGCAGAAGTTGTTGTAAGTTCTTACCTTACGGATCCACCTCTGTGCACGACGAAATGTGCCGTTGCCAGATCCTCGCCAAGAGTGGCATGTCTTTCCGGGATAAACTTTTGCATATGCGCTTCCGTTCCATCCTTACGGCTGTTCCACCACTTCTTGATCCCTGACGGGGACAGATCGATGGGCTGCTGCATCATTTCAATCAGTTCCGAATTCCGGTTGCTTGATTCGAAAAGCTTGAAGCCACTCTGGAAGGAATCGGGACGATCACTGTAAGGTGTGCGCCACTGGAGTTTCTCCTTGTCCTTGTCGATTTTGCCTTTGATATTGGACAATTTCGGATTTTTAAGATCATCTTGATTGAATCGACGTGCACTGGTGACTAGTGAGCGAAAGAAAATACGATTTTGATGGAAATTCAACATTTTTGATTGAATAACAGTCGCACGCACGCAATCTAAACAAACTAAAATCGTAGTTTGTGAATATCGTGCAAGAGTTTGCTTTCTTGTTGTGACAGCAAAAACGCATTGAAAATTGCCTCGTGGGTGTGTGCAGGGTGGCCAGACCTACCGATTTATCGGTAGTCCTACCGATTTTCGGGGTGCCTACCGATTCACAGACGAAAGGTTCAAAACTACCGATTTTTCACTTTTCCTACCGAGAATCACAGATTTTTAGATTATAAATTAAAAAATTGATTTCGACACGTTTAAAGCAGAAGATCTGAAGGACAGTGTATTGTTCTGGAGCACAGAGTCATCCCCCCCCCCGGCTCACAAAAGTTTCAAGTATCGGGAAAGCCTTCCCGCATAAACGCGAACCATAAATTGACCTTACCTAAAATGGTTAAAAATTGTTTATAATCCCTGCTAAACTTTAACTGAAATGGTTATGGAACTTTACATGAACGTTTAATGATAAAGTTTCAACCTTATGTATTATGGTTTTTTGGAACTGGACCTTACAAATAATGGGTTGTTAAGAACCATTACCGTTCCAAATTCTTGTTTTCTCCATACATTTTCGGAAAGAGAACTATATTAGAACCTTTTAAATTATGGTTTGAGAACTTTAATGGTAATGGTTATGGTAGTCAGTAAGGTCCACGAATGGTTTTGTAACATCGATCAACTTTATGTGGAATATATCACGAATTGGTTGCCTATAATTTACTGATTACCAATTCACGATATATTCCACGTAAAGTTGAGCGATAATACAAAACCATTAATGGACCTTACTGACTACCATAACCATTACCATTAATGTTCTCAAATCATAAGTAAAAACGTTCTTATATAGTTCTCTTTCTGAAAATGTATGGAGAAAACAAGAATTTGGAATGGTAATGGTTCTTAACAACCCATTATTTGTAAGGTCCAGTTCCAAAAAACCATAATACATAAGGTTGAAACTTCATCATTAAACGTTCATGTAAAGTTACATAACCATTTCAGTTAAAGTTTAGCAGGGATTATAAACAATTTTTAACCATTTTAGGTAAGGTCAATTTATGGTTCCCGTTTATGCGGGTTCTTAAGTCGACCTACCGATAACTACCGATAAAAGTTTTGAGAAGCTACCGATAATGAAAAAAATAATCTGGCCACTCTGGGTGTGTGTCGGAACTCATTAGGCCTGTGCCGATGTCGTACAGCCATTAGGGCGGTACGATGAACGATGTTAGAGTTTGATGTGCCTAATACAATTTACATGCAATATTAGTTGCACCATTTTTAATTTTTAACGCTTGCAATAATAAATACGTAAAGAGAAATTTGAGACTTACATTTTATTGCATAAAATCAACATTTTTATACAGTTTCAACCTTCCATTATATCAGTCTTGATCGGGTGAGTTCCCTGCGTGCGAAAGACGTTGCTTGGTGAGTGGTTGTAGGTTTTTCCCCTTCACCCGCTTGGTGTGCAATAATACTTTTGACAGGCGAACGAAAAATTTGGTGGGCTCTCCTTCGAAAAGGTGGAAAAATCGTCATCTGCGTATTGAATGGTGAATTTTGGAATAGTTTCTACCCTGGAGCAGGATAATTTCTAGCATATTTTCCGCGGCAACCATTCCGCCAGCAGCCGAGGTAAGTTTTAACGTGGGAACCTATCGGAAACAAGACTAAAATTGATCAAATATTTCTTGCATTCTGCGGGGTGAAAAAATCAACTAAAACAGCTCCAACATGGCCGGCCGAGGAAAAACCAACATAAACATTGAGGAGGATGTTCGCATCGCCATTCACTACATGATCGACAAGTTTGTGCAGGACGAGAAGCTGAACGAGTTTGACTTTCCGGCCTCGTTTACCCGGGAGCACCGGGCCTACATCCATGATTACGTGAAGAACAAATCGCTCAAGTCCAGATCCCACGGGAAAGGTGAGTGAACTTCTACTTTTACCTCTACCAGCTACAACTTGCAATGCAATCATCTGGCTGCGGAGAATGCATACAAAAAAAAAACGATGCCTCTCCCTTTTGCTCTCGTGTACTATACACGCAAGCAACGTTGGCTACCTACATATCAGTTTGCCACTAGCCACTTGTAATTTGCGCTTCCAGCTGGTTGAATTCAGCTTTGGATTTTTCTCTGCGCACTTTGGATATGCACGGGAGGCTTTCCGTGAGTGGTGGGGGCAATTGTGATTAAGTTTATTTAACAGTTCATTGCATTAATCAAGTAATTTGGTGAGATATTTAACGGAATAGGTACATAATGGAACTGTGATCACTTCGATGAATTGGATGGTTATTGAATGTTTACTAAACTGTAGTGAGATTCTAATTACAGGATGTCGATTGACTTTTAAATCTGGGATTATCAGGATTCATGGATTATGAATAAAGGATACATCTTTGAAAGCAAAAAAAAATACCCCATATCCCGCTTATATCTCAGAGGAACTAGGTTTGTGAGAGCATGTTAGACGCATGAAGTTTAAAGAACCTAGAATTAAAGTTTCTGCAAGTTTGCTAGATATAAAGCAACATATTTGGAAAGCCTCCTAAATAAAGCTAAATAATAATAATAATAGCAACATATTTCAATAAGAATTTCATGCTGAAGTTTTGGTGTAATTTACGGACAGATTATAAAATAAAGGGAAAGTTGTGTCTCTCATTTCAAGGGATGTCAGAATATGTAGTTTTTGTTTTATTGTTTTATTGTTGTTTTACATCAACAGGCTGGATGAAGCCCCAATGATGTTAACCTTATCAACTATGGTAAAAAAATACATTCAAGCATGGTCATAACATAAAAAAAAACATTAAAAAACATATACCTTATAGTCAGTTACTCCTGCCGGCGAAAAACAGAAGAAAACTTTCGACGAAGCGCATCACGGGAGAGATGAAAGTCGAAAACAGATGCAACTCTGTTGAATGTGCTCTACAGTCCGCAAATCGCACCGCACGCTCCATAATTTGTGCGACGTAGAGGCAGTCTTAGCATAAGGTTATTACGAAGACAACGGTTAGGGCTCTGCTTGTATGTCTTCTAGTCCGGAGAAGTTCTAGGTCGATAAGTTGACAACGGCTTTCGTAACTGAGTAATCGAAACGGATCATTCCAAGGCAATCTACGCAACGCAAAACGAAGAAAGCGACGTTGAACAGATTCAATTCTCTCGGCACCGTTGTTGTAGTTTGAACAATACTCAGGCGTCGGTCGAACAAGTGAACAATAGAGAGATTTTAGACAGTAGATATCAGTGAAGTTTTTAGCTATCCTTAAAATGAACCCTAAAGTTCTTGACGCCTTATCAACAACATATGCAATGTGTTGCTTGAATGAAAGCTGCGAATCCAAGATCACACCCAAGTCTTTCACGTGATTCACGCGTTCGATTGTCGAGCCAAGCAGGTCATAGCTAAATATTATCGGTTGTTGTTTTCGTGAGAACGTAATAGCGGAGTATTTGGCTGGGTTCACTACCATTCTGTTTAACCTGCACCAACTAGCGAATACATTCAGTTGACGTTGAAGAAAGTGACAGTCAGCAATGGAGCAGATTCTTAGGAAGATTTTGAGGTCCTCTGCATATGATAACCGAGGAGCTTCGATGATCAGATGCACGTCGTTGAAGTACTGTATAAAAATTAACGGTCCCATGTGGCTTCCCTGAGGTATACCTGATGTGGCGAAGAAGCTAGCTGATCTGCAATTTCCTATGGCAACCTTTAGTTGCCGACCGGTAAGATATGATCGAAACCAACTCAGAAGATTACCGCATACACCGAGCCTGCCGAGTTTAGAAATCGCAATAGCATGGTTCAACTTGTCGAATGCTGCGGATATGTCTGAATAAATAACGTCCGTTTGAACCCGATCCGACATGCTTTCGGTTATATACGATGTGAGACACAGCAGATTGGTGGTTGTAGAGCGGCCTACAGTAAACCCATGTTGATCAGCACTCAAATACTGCTTGCAATGGGACAGCAACGGTTCCATAATCACTAGCTCGTATAGCTTCGAAATGGCACTTAACGATGTAATTCCTCGATAGTTATCCACAGCCCATTTCCTTCCTTTTTTGTGGCCGGGAAACATGTGCGCAAATTTCCAGCAAGATGGAAATATGCCACCTGAGAGAGACATTCGGAACAGGCGAAGAAGTGGAATTAACAAGCTAGCAATATGTCTCTTAAAAATACAGATGGAACTCCTTCAGGTCCAGGATTGAAGGATGACTTGAGCAGAGTCGCGGCCTTAGAAATCATTTCTGCATTAACATCAATTGCACCCAGCGTTTGATCGTTTACTGGAATGTTCCTGGCAGCCAGGTTAATATGGTCGTCAGTTAGTATCTCATTAGTGAATACACTGGCAAACTTTTCGGAAAAAAAGGTGGCTATATCCTGAACAGTGGCAGCAACTTCTCCGTTGAATTCCATAGACGATGGGAGGCCGGATTCCCTGCGTTGCTCGTTCACGTAGTTCCAAAAGGATTTCGGGTGTAGCTTAAGTTTGCGCTGGATGCCTCGTTGGAAACTTGAAAAGCATTCACGACTGACTCGCTGGTACATGTGATTCAGCCTCACATAATGTAGTTTCAGAGGAAGCGTACGATACTTCGTAAATCTTCTCAATGCTGCTCTATTGATTGATTTCAACCTACGTAGCTCTCTCGTCTGCCAGGGAGGGTGAGACACTTTGTGGTGAGTTCTTTTCGGGACGTGTCTGTCATGAAATATGCCAAGACATGTGAAAAGGTTTGCGCTGCAGCCTCAACGTCATCTGGATCAAGGATGTTCTCCCATACCATGCTAGACAATACATCTATGATGCTACGGTGGTCAGTTTTACGGAAGTCATAAGAAACCGTAGCAGGATAGTCGTCAAAATCACGCCGAGTTTTTCCTCAACAGTGACAGTTAGAGGAGGGTGATGTGGAGCTAGCTTAGTTAGTGCACAAGGAGCCGAGGAAATTGATGGAGCCCTGTCCTGTGTGCTCACGAAGCAGAGGTCCAAACTACGACCATTTTCGTTAACTACATGGTTAATTTGAGAAAGCGTCGCTCCGCTGTAGTTGTCGAGAAGGCTAATAGCTCCTGCGTGAAATGTAGAGCCATCAGGATCTGGGTACAGGACTCCGCTATGAGATGGACTCCACGAAACGCCTGGCAGATTGAAGTCACCAAAAATGAATATCTCATCAACTGGAGTAGCACTTTCGACAACTGTGAAAACTGACCGACAGTGAGTATCGATGAGTTCATTGTCGCGGACTCGATCAGGTGGAATGTACAGAGCGCATAGAAATAGTGAGCGATCACCCAGATTGATGGCTGTCCAAACCTGCTCCACATAGTTCCATGAATCGTTCTCGATAGCCTTTGCCTCCAACCTGCTACGGACAGCTACAAGGACACCTCCACCAGTAGATTTACGGCTGTTGTTAGGATTCCGATCGCAACGAAAGACCTCGTAGTCAGGACCGAAAACTTGACTGGAAAGCGTTTTACACGAACTTGTGCCTGCACTCAATTTAGTATTCCTTGAAGCACATTAATTGAGAGCAGGCAATGTATGAATTTAATAATTGTGTAAACCAGGAAATTGCGCGAAAAATTTCAACCCGAAAGATTTTCTAAACCGGACCGGGAATCTAACTTGCCACCTCCGGTTTTGTAATAATTTGCCCTAGTGAGGGCTAGCTGAGGCCTCCAAAAATAAGCGATATTCAGAGTCTTTTAGAAGAACTTCAGTCCTGAGCTAGTACCGAGATTTTCTAGATCACAGAAAAATTCCGCGGACTTCTGAAGGAGTTGTAGAGCTAGGAACAAACTCTACAATTCCTTCAGAAGTCCGCGGAATTTCTCTGTAATCTAGAAAATCTCGGTACTAGCTACCATCGGTACTCTGAAAATCGCTTATTTTTGGAGGCCTCAGCTAGCCCTGACTTAAAAAGCATTAGAAGATTTAACAGGATACTTAAAATAACTAGAATAAACCCACCTGAGTGTGAATGTTGTGGCACCGTCATCAACGTTAGTCATATCTTTAAGATACTGGATTGCAGGAAATAGCAAGATGCTCGTACAAATTGAAACATTGACTGTTAATGTCTTCAAGCAGGTCTTCGTAACAATGAGACATATTAACTTTCCTAGAAGGTACAAATTTGATGCACTTTATTCATGTATTTGTTTGTACGATATTTCGCGGTAGACCATTTCGCAGAGTTCGAGTAGGCGAAATATCTCGTTGCAATTTCATTTGATGGATCGTTAAAATCTGAATTAAACAATTTTTGGAAGAATTTTGCTTCTTTTAACACTAACGTGCTTTGCGTGTTTCGACCCTAAAAGTTGAAATTGCTTCCATTTGGTCAGTTTTCGACTATCAAATATAGAAAGCTGCAACTGACATCCCGGGAAACAAGTTCTGGAAAATTTGCCAATTATCTCATTTTCTGATTCTCATGTATCTGGTGTGATTTCTTGGGAAACAGTTATTTTTTTTTAAATATGATAAACGTACATTTTAAAAAATAGACCAAGAGGCAAGTGAAACCATTTTGGGGAAACTTGATTTATAAATTATACTTTCCTAGGGAAATTGACATAAAAAACCTTCCATGAGTATAGGGTGTCTCAGAAAGTATAAGCACAGTTTATTATTGGTTAATGAAATCACATTTTAATTTAATATATTTTCTCCCTATAGTATTCTCCTACAGTTGGATGAAAATAATCCGCAGTTCCTGTATACCAAGGAGCGAACTTTTAATTTGACGCTGCCTTAGGGATAATTTTGGTCACTTTCGTCCAGTGTTTTTCAAATTCTTCGATTGAATTCGCTGCCTTAAAGTGGTTCCATAGATATCCCTTGGAAAGTGCCCAAAAAGTTTCGATTGACTGGACCTCCGGACAATTCGGATGATTCATCTCTTTTGGCACGTATTGCACTATGTTTGCTTGGTACAAACCAAGCTACCGTGTCTGTCGAGTAGTGCATTGACACCAAATCGGACCAAAATAGTACTTGGCCATCATGTTGATCATGGGTTGGATCATGGGTCGCAGGCGCCGATTCAAACACTCCCGAACGTAAATTTCAGTGTTCATTGTCTCTTTCGTCACAAACAGCTTGGACAACTTGCCACACTCACATATAGCTTGCCAAACAATGACCAAATTTTTCGGTAAAAATTGACTTATCGGCATCGTCTACTTCTTGAACATCACGGACTGTGTAGTATTGGTTTCCCGGAAGCGTCTTGTAGTCAAATTTGACGTATGTTTCATAGTCCATGATAACACACGCCAATTTTACACAAAGCAGGCTATCATAAGCTGCCGAGCCCTCTGTTTGACGGATGCGGCTTGTTTCTGACTCCATTTCGGCTTATTCTGCTTCTTGAACGTTTTCAGCTCGTTTCTTGCCTTGGCACGTTGGACGTTACTCTTCGATGTTCTCAGTTTTTTGGCCAAATGTCGAACAGAGCCACTTTTGTTATTGAAGAAAGCTTGGTGATTTTCTGGTCCACTTTTCGGTCCATCGGTCCCTGTTTACGGCCTGATTTCGATGTGTCCTCGAAGGTAACTTCTTCACCGAACTTCTGGATGGCGGTTTGGACTGCTCCGATACGTACTTCCTCTATTTTCGCCAAGGGCCTGTTAAAATATTATGTAGGTAACGCAAAAAAGTGGTGTTTTGACCAACCTCTTGTCACGTACTTTTCCTATACCTAATACATGATAGTTAACGCACTTCCAGACTACCCCTACCCCCTCTTGCGTTACGTAATATTTGAATGGGACCCAACTTCCTTACTGATAAGTTGGAAATAGCACACCATTTGTGCACGATCTGTTTGCGCTTTTCCGGGGAAATGCCTCCCCGCATTTTGATGATTTTGTAAAAAAATCCACTTTGCGCACACAAACTTGTTGAGCAATAAGTAAACAACAACACACATCGATGAACAGCTGATAAACTTCATCGAGGTAAAAATGGCAGCGAGTAGAGAGTGTGCTTATATTTTCTGGGACACCCTATAGTACGTAGTTAGATGATAACTCCTGAAAAAGGTGAACACTAATTAAGGGGAAGTTCAATTCTAGATGAACATTTCAAACGGTCCTATTTTTTCTTTCGTTAATAATAAGCTGCAAAATATTTCCCTGTTGTATTTGACGTTTGGACGCCAGATAAGAACCTCCTTTATCAAAATACAGTCAACTCTCCACAATGCGATGTCCACTAACTCGCTATCGAATTACAGAACTATAATAAACATGAATTTCATGGCTCCTGTGATAGGGATTTTGTATGGGATTGTTATACTATAACTCGATGATCCTAGTTGAAGAGAGTTCACTGTATGTGGTAACAATAACGCGAAATCTGTTTGCACTTAGGACCTAATGCAATGTTCAGCTTGAAGTATCATCATAATATCATAAAGGTTACTCTAAGACGAGAAGGTCCCGAAGAAACGTGCTCAACTTTTTGGCTCAGCTCTGGTACTATCATCGGTCCCAAGCTAATCGATGCACCCCTAGAAACATAGCAAAATCCACGAACCCCTCATTTTATCTGTCAAACTTTCATAGCGAATCAAAACAAACATAGTGTAGTACTAGAATTTCGACTGGAATGGGGAACGTTAATCGATTTGCTTGGGACCAGTAGGCTAGTCAATTGCTTATTGCTTATCACATATTAGCTTATTGCGTACTCTCAACTTAGTGTTCTAAGTAGATACACTTCCACAGTAATTAAATGAGAGCTGTGGCCAGTACAACCACACTCTATGCCCAGGCACAAATTTACCAAACAGAACAATTCCTAGACCGGACCGGGAATCGAATCTAGCCTCCTCTAGCATGGTCTTGCTTTGTACCTGCGCCTTTATCGTCTGAGCAAAGGAAGGCCTGAACTATCGTATCACAATTTACTCTCAAATTCACTCACTGCAAGTAGATTCTTACTTAATGTTTCATTCATACGAGCATTCATATTCATATATTCGTTCTCTCATGTCGGTAAGCTCCAACTCGGATTAACTTTTAATACCATCCCTGTTTGGATGATTTTCAAAATGATTCATTAGGTCATTTTCATTAACTGAATTCTGTTTTTAAACGGAAATACTGTTTTTGTGTTTTTGAAAAATGCTGTTCGTCTCCTTTCCCTTTAACCCCTATATATGTAGACAATAGCTAAGTAATGAGGGTTGTTGATTTATGCAAATGTAAATTAATCTTCCACCCATAGGCAACCAACGCTACCTGACGATCTACAAATCGAACATCCTCTCCCTGATCCACGACGATGCCAGTCTGGACATCAGTGAAAACTCGCAGAAGACGATTGAACTGATACTAAAGAAGCAGGGCCCGTTCCAGAAGGAGGTAGCCGATTCCTTCGCCCGGCGCAAGTTGTACCCAAGCCTCACGTCGTACAGCCTGAACCTGGGATCACCGAGCAATTCCGTCAAATGCATCCCACCTCCGACGAATTCCAACCTGCAGGTCATCCAAGAACGGCTTCGATTGCCGATTGCTCCCTATCGGGATGCGATTATGAACTGCTTGACGCAGAATCAGGTTATGATCATCTCGGGTAGCACCGGGTCCGGCAAGACTACACAGATCCCACAGTTCATTCTCGAGTCCAGTACACAGCAGGGCGAGGCATGCCGCATTATTTGTACCCAACCGAGACGGCTTTCGGCGATTACCGTAGCTGATCGTGTGAGCTACGAGCGGAATGAACAACTCGGGCAAACCATTGGCTATCAGATCCGACTCGAAAGTCGGCTGAGTCCGATTACTAACCTTGTCTTCTGCACAAACGGCGTTCTCCTGCGGTGTCTGATGGGCAAGAATTCCACCAGTATTCTGAACGACGTGACCCACATCATAGTGGACGAAGTTCATGAACGCGATCAGTATTCGGACTTTCTGCTGATCTCGCTGAAGGAGAAAGTCCTGCAGCATACGAACATCAAAATAATTCTCATGTCTGCTACGATTGAATCGAACACATTTTCGCGCTACTTCAACAACTGTCCACTGATTGAAATTCCCGGACGGCTATTCCCCATCGAAAGCAACTTCCTGGAGGATGTCCTCTTTCGAGTCGATCGTTACAATGCTAAGATCGACGAGGTGAAACGACAGTTCAAAAGCACACCTGACTTTGCCAGATCTATGGTACAGAACCATCATCGGTCGGAGGTAGTCAATACAGCCAACATGGATGACGAGACGATCCTGCTGATGAACGACATCCTGGAGTTGTGCTGGATCGAAAACAATCCGGACGACTTTAACCATTTCTTCTATCTGGTCGAGGACGAAAATAATCCCATTAATTTCCAGCATACGGAGACGAAGATGACGGCCATGATGATTGCGTCTGCCAAAGGTATGTGTAAGGAGTTGTGACTGGTGAGGAATTTGAGTGATGTTTTTTTTTTTTATTGCAGGGTATACAAACGTGGTGAAGAGGTTGTTGGACATGGGGGCGGATCCGATGATCAAGGGCAAGCACAATTTCACCGCGCTAGATTGGTCAGTCAGCATCAACGGGTACAATGCATGTTCACAGCTGTTGGAAATAGCGTCTAACCCGCAACAGCAACAGCTTCAACAGCATCAGCTTCAACAGCAGCAGCAGCAGCAACAAGTTCAACAAATGCAAACTCCTCCCAGACAGTTGGCCAAGGTTCTGCTCGATGTGTACCACAGCACGGTGAATGATGAAAAGATAGACCATCGTTTAATTTTGGACATCATCAAGTACATCTGCACGAAATTGGCTCCGGGAGCGATTCTCGTGTTCCTCCCCGGTTACGACGATATTCTGGAGCAATATGAGACGCTAAACTGCGGCTTGGGTGGAACCACAAACTTTCGAATCTACATGTTGCATAGTAATATGCAAACGAACGATCAGAATGCAGTGTTCAAACCGGTTCCGCCGAATACAAGAAAGATCATTCTCTCTACGAATATCGCCGAAACTTCGATTACCATCGATGACGTCGTGTACGTCATTGACAGTGGAAAGGTAAAGCAGAAGCACTACGATTCGGTGACATCGACGACCTCGTTGACGGCCACGTGGATTTCACAGGCCTGTGCCACACAACGAGCAGGACGAGCGGGTCGAACGCAGCCCGGTGTATGTTTTCGGTTGTTCACCCGCCAGAGGTTCGAAGCGATGGACAAATTCACGCTGCCGGAGATTCTACGAGTTCCGCTAACGGAGATTTGTCTGCAGACGTCGATCATTGCCAGTCACACCTCGATCTTGAACTTCCTGAGCAAAGCCATACAGCCACCGTCCACGATGAGCATCAAGCAGAGCATCAAATTGCTGCAGAAACTGGGTGCACTGGATGACGATGAAAACCTCACGGAGCTAGGGTTGATCTTGGCTGATTTGCCAGTGGATGCCCGGTTTGGAAAGATACTGCTTTATGGGATATTTTTAAAATGCATCGATCCTGTGCTGACGATCGTCAGTGCACTCAGCGTGAACGATCCTTTCGTGCTGCCCACGACTGCCCTGGACAAGGATAAAGCGGCTAAACTGAAGCGGGACATGGCGGAGGATTCGTACAGCGATTGTTTGTGTCTGCTGCGGGCGTTTCAAAAGTGGAATGAGGTGAGTTGAACTGTACGGTTGGGTCTTCTTAAATTAATTGAAGTTTATTCCGTGATTCAGTTAAAACCATCGATGAAGGAGCGTCAGTTCTGTAATCGTTTCTTCCTCAACTCGGGCACGATGGATACTATTAGTAGCTTGCGGGGTAAGATTCTCGGTCATCTACGTTCGGTAGGGTTGGTGAAGAGCTACGGTGCCGGCAATATCCAAGATCTGAATCAGAATTCGGACAACTGGGCCGTGGTAAAGGCGTGTCTCGTGGCCGGTCTCTATCCTAACGTTTGTCGCGTCGATAAGGAGAATGCCACGATTAAAACCCGTATCGATAAGAAGATAAGTCCTCACCCGAGCTCGGTCATCAGAGATAAATCGTTGAAGAAAAACAAGGAAAGCATTTTGTCACTTCCCTCGGAATGGATCGTATTCGAGGAGAAGACCCGAGCGGGAATACACTGCCTGATCAAGTGCAATACGGTTGTGGCACCGGTGACGATCGCCCTGTTTTGCGGTCCACTGTTCCTGAACGATGAAGAATCGCTCATTTCCTGGAAGGATCTGGACGAATCAAATTCGGACAACGACGAACATGACATGTCCGACAAGAGCAAGTTGGTCCTGGACGATTGGATCAACTTTGCTGTGGACAACAAGTTTGGCACCTCGGTGTTTCATTTTCGGCATAAGCTGAGTGCTCTCTTCCTCAAGTTCATCACCCATCCGAGATCATATCAGCCGAACGCAAACGACTTGTACCTGTTGAATACGGTGGCCCAGCTGCTGAAGGACGAGGACCGTCACCTCGGATTCGCCGGCCACAGTAACATTGGCCAGAAGCCACGACCTGTGATACAGAACCACCTGAATGTGAATGGTGGCGCGGGGAATGCATTCAATTTCTCACCGAACGATTTCAAACTGGCTGCCAGCAACAGCAACGGCAACGGTAACAATAATAACAACAGCAACAAACATCATAACCGCCACCAGCAGCAGCACCACCACCACGGTGGAGGCGGAAAGCAGAACACCCACAACAACCGAAAGGGGGAACCCAAGACCAGATATTTTATAGTGCACGCAGCATCCGTAATGCAAATCCAACTGGCGGCCGAGAATCCCGATGTTTGGGGCTTCACGTCGTCGTTGCATCCGAAGCTTAACAAACTGTTGAAGGTTTGTAGTAAACATTATCAATACAATGGCCTGGCTATAATTCACACCTACTGCTCTTTTCAGAAACAACATAATCTCAACATCATCCTGTTTTTCCACATATCACAAGGCAAATGCTTCTTCGGAGCAGGTCGACTGGCATTGGTCGCCAACCGGACTCATCTGAATCTGTTTTCCAGGAACTCAGTCTCATTTGAAACGTTAAGGTAAGCATAAGTTCGTTTCGTAGATTAAACGACATTTTGTCACTACTGTCCCTCTTTCAGTACCTTCGAGAAAAGCTTCATGCGGGGAAGAGTTCTGGAGGAGTACCTCGACGGGGAGGAACTGTCGCCCTCGAGCGGCCAGGAGCTGATGGAATTTTTCAAGTAGATCTTGAATCAGCCCCCTCTCAAATCATAGCTTGATCTGAATGGCTACAAACACAAAGAGAAAAGGTTGCAATGATGTTCAAATTTCAGCGCAGTTTGAATGTGAACAAAACAAAACACGTAATTTTATCACAGAAGGTATATTATATGGTAAAACAAGGTAAAATTTTCCCATTCGCAACAAAACAGAAACAAAGTTATAAAAGTAAATATTAGAGACTAAAAGAAGAGACAAGAATAAGATAGCAAACCATTGTAGTAGACCCGAGTTCATACTTGATCGGTACCAGAAGCATACCATTCTCTTTCCTTCTATGAATATCTTGTTTGGCTTGTTGTATCTCAAGTCGAGAGTGCAGTGAACATAAAACGAATAAACTGGATAATTATTCGGTCTGAAATCCCATTCAAGATAACTAGATTACCTAAAGAACACTGCGGATTAAATGCAATTCTTCAACGGCAAACGGAATATTGCAATCTTCGAAAACCAGAATACAAAGAATAAGCTGCAAATGTACTGTTTAATTTAAATTAAATTAAATTGTAAAAGTGGAATAAAGCTGAAAACTTTTAAAGTTATCAATGTGAAAGAATGAACAAGTTAAAATAACTCGTATTTTCTTGAGTGAAAGAAATCCTTACCTAGGCTTATCAGTTGACAAACTTTTCTTTAGGTCAAGGAAGCGGTTTTTGAGAGAATGTACGCAGAGAGAATGCACAGAGAGAGAGAGAGAAGAAGAAAATGAGAGTAGTTTACTCACTCTCTGTTTTGATTTTGCGGGTCGTCCACGGTTGACGTTACCCACGTGTACTCAAGTATGTTATTCATACTATGTACTCTAACAAATAAATTTAAACACTGCTTGATATCTTAAGCTTTAACTTTGTTGTATAACCATTTCACAATTGTTACGTCATTTGCGCGGCATCACATTCTGACAGATAGGGTGTAAACAAACTTCGATTGCATAAACATTCACTTCGTTTCGCGTAGCAATCCTACAGTGGTACATCACAGAATAATCATGAGTGGAAGTGCATTTACGTTGGCCATTTTCAAGCCGCATCTGCTGAAAAATCCCGTGGCCTACGGTGCGGTGGAGAGGTTGATCGAATCCAGTGGGATTCGGATTGTCACGAGGAAGCAGGTTCGGCTCACGCAACCGGAGGCGGAACGGTTCTACCAGGATCATCGAGGGAAGTTTTTCTACCAGAGGTTGATTTCGCTGATGACAAGGTGAGATTATTTGTGATTTTGGGAACTAGATTTTGTTTTTGATTATCAATTATTGGATTTCAGTGGTCCGCTCGAAGTGTTGGTGCTTTCGGGGGAGAATGTGATAACCCGGTGGCGAGAGCTGATGGGTCCCACCAAGGTATTCAAGGCGGTTTATTCCCAACCAGAGTGCATACGGAGTTTGTACGGACTGACGGATACGAGGAATGCTAGCCACGGCTCAGGTATGTTCAATTGTCTTGTTTTGTTTATTTGTTATGTTTGCATCAACAGACTAGAAATGTATTAATATGTCTTAAATTTTACACTTAGCTGTTGGGTGTCAAGCGCCTTCGGTCAGCAAAAAAGGCAGAGAATCTTCGGGGAAACATATTCCGTGTCAAGTGGAAATCGAACATCGACGCTACTCGGTTGAACACTCGCTGCAAGCCGTAGATAGCGCTCCCTAAGCTATAATTAGTTGAGTGGAAGTCTCAGCATAAGACTGTTGCGTAGTGATCGAGGTTGAACATTAATGTTCACTCGTTGCAGAATTGCTTCGCAGTCGATTCTTCTTTGCAGAGTATCGGCGACGGTTAAGGCTCTGAAAACATCTCTTCGGATACCGTAAGGGCTCGACATTGATCAATTGGCAGCGATTCTCGTAGCTTGGAAGACGAAGTGGGTCTCCAAGGCAGCTTACGGAGCGCGAAGCGAAGAAAACGTCGTTGCACAGATTCAATTCGCTCGGCCCCATTATTGTAGTTCGGGCTCCAGACTGCAGAGAAGTATTCCAACGTAGATCGTACAAGAGAGCAATACAGCGATTTCAAGCAGTAAATGTCTGTGAAGTTTTTAGTAATCTTGAAGACAAAGCCAAGAGTTTTGGACGCTTTGTCGACGACATACGATATATGCTGTGAGTATGTTAGCTTTGTGTCTAGAAAAACGCCTAAGTCTTTCACGCAATGCACCCGTGCCTAGTAGTTTGTAGTTGAAAATAATCGGTTGTTTCTTGCGTGAGAAAGTAATGACTGTACACTTAGCTGGGTTGACCACCAGTCGGTTTAGACTACACCAGTCAGTAAAGATGTCAATCTGATTTTGGAGAGAACGGCAGTCGGCGAGTGAGCGGATGCGTAGAAAAACTTTCAGATCTTCTGCAAACGATAATCGTGGCCCTGTGATAACATGGTGAACATCGTCGAAGTAAAGGAGAAATACCAATGGTCCCAGATGGCTACCCTGAGGTATACCGAACTTTGCGCAGAAGCTTGCTGAGCGACAAGTACCCAAAGTTACTGTCAGTTGGCGCTCCGTGAGGTATGAACAAAACCATCTCAAAAGATTTCCACCGATCCCTAGCCTATCAAGCTTAGTGATCGCAATTTCGTGGTTCAGCTTATCGAAGGCTGCCGTAAGATCTGCTGGAATATGCAGCGCAGTGGATCTAAAAGACAAGTGATGTTCTTTTTAAGAATAATCGACTGAACACCATCGGGTCCAGCCTTAGCTGAAGTCTTAAGTTTAGATGCTGCTCTATAAATCGTATCTGTAGTGGCTTCGACCATGCTGAGCCTTTGGTTGACCAAAGGAACATTACTGACCGCGGAAGTAATGAGATTAGCGGAGAGTTGCTCGTCTTCAAACACACTAGCAAATTCGGCTGAGAACAGATTGCAAATGTCTTGTTGATTACCAGCAGTTTCACCATTCAAAATCATGGAAGAGGGTAAGCAGACTTTCCTGCGTTGCTCATTTGCGCAGTTCCAGAAGGATTTCGAGTGTGATTTTAGCCGCCGTTGAATCCTCCTTTGAAAGCGTTGAAAACAGAGATGACTTAACCGCTTATACTCGAGGTTGAGTCTGACATAGTATCATTTCAGCGGCAGTGTGCGGAGTTTAGTAAATCTTCTTAGAGCAGCCTTCTTAGTTCTTTTCAACGAGCGAAGATCTTTCGTCATCCACGGGACGCGAGAGGCGACATGATTTATCTTTTGGAAACGTGTCTGTTAATGACATATGCCTAGACGTAGAAAAGGTTTGTGCAGCAATGTTGACATCTACAGGATCTAGAATATGCTCCCAATCTAGGTTAGACAGCACATGGACAATACTACGACGGTCAGCTCTACGTAAGTCATATGACACAGCGTTTGAAGTGCTGGTAAAATCATGGACAATATTATTTTTGATCACGATAACTAAAGCAGGGTGATGATGCACTTCCTTGACTAAAGGTTCGGGAGAGGACAGGAGCTGTATCACGAGCACTCACAAAGCAGAGATCCAGGGTGCGGTTGTTTTCATTCCATAGGCCATTGATTTGTGACAGAATTGCGGTACTATGGATAGTTCCTTCGTGGAAAGATGAACGCTCGGGATCAGGACAAAAGAAACCACTATAGGATGCAATGTCCGGTAGGTTAAAATCGCCAAGAACAATAACTTCGTCGGAAGGGCCTGCTTTGTCTGAAGCGACCAAGACGGATCGACAATGTGCGTCAATAAGCTCCAAGTCACGGGTTCGATCTGGATGGATGTTCACTGCACAGAGAAGCAATTGACGATCACCAAGTTGAATAACCACCCACACTTGTTCAACCGTGTTCCAGGAATCGTCCTCGATAACTTCTGCTTTCAGCTTGGAATTAACTGCGATAAGGACGCCGCCCCCAGTAGTTTTCCTACTATTATTCGTGTTTCGATCGCAGCGAAATATTTCGTAGCCAGCATCAAAGACATAGTTTGAAATGGTTCGATAATTGAGCCAGGTTTCGGTCAAAACTAAAATGTCATAACAGTGATCCATGAAGGCCGTTCATACCGCCAACGTTCTGATAGTAAATCATTATGTCCGACCTCCGCTGTTCGGGAACAATGGAAGGTTCAGCGTGTAGTTGCATTTGGGAGCTGGTAAATGTCACTTGACGGAGGAAGGATGTTGGAGTAGGGCCGCTGGAAACCAAGATACTTTCAAGCGATAATATATTCGTCGGTTGATCATACTTGCCAACTACAGACAGCTCTCCACAACTCAATATTGAAGAAACCAGTTTTTGCAGAGGAATATCGAATGTTTTGATCTGCTGTAATATCTGAAATTATTTCAACACATCAATTCCAAAAATTGTTCGAGAATGCAAAAAAATCACGCAATAAGACTGTCAATTTTCAAAATGTAATATGTCTCAAATGTGTCAGATTATGTGTCATTATCGGCTTTGGTCACTTACCACAAGGACGCCTGAAACAATGTTGAATATGTCTACATTTGTAAAAGACGTTTAATATAATCGTCAATCATTGAAAAAAGCTCATGAGATTTGATCAACTCGCCTAACGGGTTTTGCTGGAAAGTGTGCTCTAAGGCTACGCAGAACAAACGTCTTTCTTGAAGGCAATCTTCCAGGGCATCTTAGTATACTAAAAGATTTTCTCATAGTAGTAATGAACGAAGACTAAATCTAGATATACCGTATAAAATTGTTAAAGCTAACCGCGAATATGGGAATTAGGAGTGCCAATTATTCCACCATGATCAATTATTTTCTACACATGATTCAAAAATGAATGACACTGGAGCTGAGATCACAGACCAGGGCTTAACGTTTCAATACCAATAGGAAGCTGGACAACTGTTTTTCTTTCAAAAATATACGCTGTCTTAGAGTGTGTATACATTTGTCTAAAAAGGAATTCTATGCTGATTTACTCGCAAGACAAGGCTCAAGTATCCAATTTATAGGATCAGAACCTTTCTGTTGGGTATCTAAAGACTGACTAAAAGTAAATGGGTACGCCTCTCGCGCGCCGCTAGCACGCCTCTAGAGTTGGGAATCGAAAATCTTTGACAGGGGTATGTTTTCACTTCTATAGAGAACGACTGGTGCAAGTTTGATCAAAGTAGTCGATCGCGTTCAGAAATAACGTCAAATGGAACTCGAAAAAAGAAAACATATTGTGCACAAACACCTGGATAATCCGGAGTGGTCCGGTTTCAAGCTGGCTAAAGTGCTGAAGATGCCGAAAACAACAGTTCGTCGAGTGTTCCAAACCTACAAGGAAACTCTGAGTGTAGCGGACCTACGAAAAAACCGAACCAGATATCTCAGCTGTGCAGCAAGGTGTTCAGGTGCGTTAAAGCCAACCCCGGTCTTTCGATCCGAGATGTGGCCAGAAGGTACAACGCCAACTTTCAAATGGTGCGGAACATCCTTGCCAGGGAAGGCTACAAGTCGTACAAAGCCAGTAAACATCCGAACCGGCACATGAAGTAGAATTCCGTGGCCAAAAAACGTGCAAGGCTCTTGTACGACCGTGTTTTGACGAAATAGAAATCGGGTGACTTGACTAGCCTATTGGTCCCAAGCAAACGATTAACGTACCCCATTCTAGTCGAAATTCTAGTACTACACTATGTTTGTTTTGATTCGCTATGACAGTTTGACAGATAAAATGAGGGGTTAGTGGATATTCCTATGTTTCGAGGGGTGAATCGATTAGCTTGGGACCGAAGAGAGTACCAGAGCTGAGCCAAAAAGTTGAGCACGTTTCTTCGATTTTAATTCAGCCTTAGTTTGAATAATTGTTGTACGTTAACCACGTTAACCTTTGTTCAGCTTTTAAACATCAAATAGTAATATAAATTTTAAGCCTTTAGCTTTACGTTGATGCTGACAAATTGGATTTTAATATTTATATTGAGATTATAAGGCTTAAAATTTGCTTTGCAAATCGCTTCGAACCGGCAGTCTGGTTTACAGGCAAAAACCCATACCTACTGGACCACAGAAGCATATGTGTTGCAAAAGGTATGATCATTAACTTGAAGTACGTCAAATTTAAGTTGAATAATAGCAACCGGAAGCTCATTTTCAACTGCAGTTAACACAATGTGGACACAAGTGCGCGATTTATTTCGATGGTCATTTGGATCCTATTTTAGTGCCATAATTGAGTTATATTTTTGGGATGCGGTCTGAAAATGCATTGCAATTTAAAGTGGTGAGCAATCAAAACACAGGAATACAAATATTAATACTTTCGACCTCGCTTCCGACGTCGTCTCAGTCCACTTCTACCTGAATATATTTCTTAAAAGCTCGCCTTTCTTGTCGCTACTGCTGGTTCTGCTTGGAATTAGTAAGGTAGTTTTTGAATGTAGAAGAACTAAAATGCCGCAAATGCAACGCGTGGCACTGACGACATTCAACAATATTGTGCAATAGAATCATATTCATATAGGGTAAACGCTCCTATAGTTGCGGTACGTTAGAAGCGTTAGGTTCCTATAGTTGTGTATTGAGTCTCCATACACAACTATAGGAACCTAACGCTTCTAACGTACCGCTACTATAGGAGCGTTTACCCTATCAGGCTATCAACATAAAGGGTGTCCCATATCAAATTGCATCACGGAAAAAAACACTGTAGAAAATTACCCATTGGGTATTTTCTCTTGAAAATTTGGGTAGAAGTAGTTTGGAGTGTATTGTTTACACTGTATTTTTATCGCTGTCAGGTTTTCGATAGTTGGAAAAAATGCACGGCGAATGAGAACGACCCAAATTTGAGTTTAGTTCACTCATAATCGCGAAAAGTGCAGGAACTCAGCGATGAGTAAAATTTGTCTCATGTTTTCCCAGGTTTTTCTAGGTTTTTCCAGGGAAAAATTCCCGAATTTGAGAAAAGTAAAGATTGGATTCACTCAGTCTATTGGTACTACTCCGAGGCTGAATAAAATTTTCGTCGATTTCCTCATTTTCCGGCAGATTTTTTAGGTTTTCCACATGAAACCATGAGACAAATTTACTCATCGCTGAGTTCCTGCACGTTTGGCGATTATGAGTGAATTAAACTCGAATTTGGGTCGTTCTCATTCGCTTCCTCAGATTTGACCTCCTTGAGATGCTTCCGTTCTGTCTGCTTCATAATAGCCCAATATTTTTCGATGGGCCTTAGTTCCGGTGCGTTGGGGAGGGGGGGGGGGGGTACGAAAGTTACTCCGTTGGCTTCGTACTACTCCAGGATAACATTTAAATAGTGGCACGAAGCTATATCCGGCCAGAAGATCGTAGGGCCCTCGTGTTGCTTCAACAGAGAAAGCAGACGCTTCTGTAGACGCTCCTTGAGGTAGATCTCCCCGTTCACAGCCCCGGTAGTCACGAACGGCGCACTTCGTTTGCCACATGAGCAGATCGCTTGCCAAATCATGTATTTCTTGGCACACTTTGAAAGTTTATGCTTGACGTAAGTCTCATAATCCATGATGAGGCAATGAGGTTTCATCAGCATCTGGATGTACAGTTTCCGGACCCGTGACTTTCCCACCGTATTTTGCTGTTTGTCACGATTTGGAGCATTCTGCACTTTGTATCCGTACAGTACTGTAGTGAACAAGTCCTGTGTACGTGCTAACTTCGTAACAATCGTCAACAGAATGATCTTCGTTTGTTCTCATGCTCGACGCGAAACCCTAATCGGCGATTGATCCTGATTTGTTATCTCTGTCTAGCCTCTATATAACATTCCCTCTAATGTAAACCGGGCTGAACACATCATATGCATATTTCGCTCCGAAAGTAGACGCACTCGCAAAGCGCGAGACTGTCATTCTCGTTGCTTTCGATGTTTAGTACGGATAAGTCGGTGTTATCATTTACTTGGCCATTTATTCATTTTTATCAACACACTTAAGCATATCTAGTGAATTTATTTACAACATCTACCATATCCACTACAAGTACCTGAACGAAAGACTTGGACAGATTCAACTTTTTGGTCACATCCCTGACCCAAGCATTGTGATTCCGCTTAAACGCTTTCAAAACACACTTGTGATCCTGATCACTAATCGAACATCCATTCTGACCTCATTTCTCCTTCCATTCGATGCTCAGAGTTTCGTAGTAACGTTCAATCACACGACTCACCGTTGACTGCACGATTCCGAGTTGTTTTCCGATGTCCCGATGAGAGAGTTGAGGATTTTCCAATTCTCGACGTTGCTTTTCGAGTGACGCCATTTTTTCAACTTTCGAAAAACTGACAGCGATATAAATACAGTGTAAACAATACACTCTAAGCTACTTCTACCCAAAATTTTCAAGAGAAAATACAAAAATACAAAATATTAAATGAGTATCTTGAACTAATTTTTTTTTAAATTATTCAAACTTCTCAAAAAATGGGTATTTTCAAAAAACAAAAAGTGGGTACTTTTTCCCCATTTGAGAAAATGTCTTCTGCAAAAAAGAATGTGTAAAAATATTCTTTCAATCAATGTCAACACATCTCTGACGAAGTGAAGACCCGAAGTGTTTAAAAAATTTTAATTCGCGAAACGAGTATTGCCTGTTTCATTCGAGACAAAACTCACCGAAACCATTTCAAAAATCGTCGCAATAGGAATCAAAATCATGATGAACATGTATTTTAAAAATGTGTTCCGTTTTAGGCTAGCGAAGAACTCGAAAAGGGAAAAGCGGACCTGTGCGATGGGGAGCATCTCTCGCGGACCGACCAGCAGTGAACTGGACCGAGTTCTAAAAGTGTTCTTTCGCAAGAACAACTTTATGAGGCAACTCGGATAAATGATAATTATTGTGCTTATATACAATAAAGAGTATGACGTGTTTCAATTATTTAGGATTCTTTATAGGATTTAATTGGTTTAAGGACGGGTAGCCCCATGAAGCAAAACACAAACCATTAAAATTGGTACTTTTTACTCATATACAGAAACAAGAAGGGTATTTTTTTTGACGTATTCATCAAATACTCATTAATGAGTAAAGTCTGTTTTATTTATTTCATGAGTCCAGCCACTGTTCTTCAAAATGGGTATTGTTTACTCTTCAATAGTTTCTTTTACGTTAGCATGTTCTTACTGTTCAGCTTGAATTGTTACTTGGGATGTGTATTTCTAGAAATATGTTTTAATATTTTTGCTTAAAATACACTTTGAAAAGGATTCTAACGTCTAATTCATGGTCAGGGAACCCAAGTTTATACGTACTATAAATGTATTGGATAGATTTTTGAAGGGTTGATCAATTTCACATATTTTTTGTTTTAGATTTCAAAAATTTCCTAAAAATAAACAAAAAATTTAACATGATAAATTATTATGTAGAACGATAGATTCCTCGTAGCTACAGGTTTCATTACCATTGGAAATGGTCGGTGTCCTTTTTGTAGAAATTTATTTCGATATTTGCGTCATACCGTTTTTCTACTACCTACACGCAGGCATGGACAATCATTTACATTCATTTCATGCATTCATTTACATTCATTTGCCTCTAACTTTTTTCATCAATAGCATTCCACAAAATGATGTAGAGAGCTTTAGTAGGTTTTGTTATTAGCTACAACTTTTACCTGTAATTCAAATCTGTATCTCTTATGCATCACGAATCAGAGCGGGCAGAACTCGTTACTGTTTTTCAGTGAATGTAAAATACATTCACTGAAAAACAGTAGTGGATTCCGTTTGCTCTGGTTCGTCATGCATAAGAGATACGGATTTGAGTTGTTAACAAAAGTTGTAGCTAATAGCAAAATCTACAAAAGCTCCATACAACTTTTTGCGGAATTCTGTTGATGAAAAAAGCTAGGGGCAAATGAATGTAAATGAATGCACGAAATGAATGCAAATGATTTTCCATGCCTGCCTACAAGCCTCAAAACTATCATAATACACTGGAGTCGCTTTTTACGCGGTTTTTTTTTACACGGTTTTTTTTTACGCGGTTTTTTTTACGCGGATTTCGGAATTTACGCGGTTTTTTTTTACGCGGATTCCGGAATTTACGCGGTTTTTTTTTTACGCGGATTTTGGTTTTTTTTTACGCGGATTTCAGAATTTACGCGGTATATCGCTTTTTACGCGTTTTTTTCTTACACGGTTTTTTTTTACTCGGTTTTTTTTTACGCGGATTTCGGAATTTACGCGGTTTTTTTTTACGCGGATTCCGGAATTTACGCGGTTTTTTTTTACGCGGGACATATCACCCGCGTAAAAAGCGACTCCAGTGTAAAACTGTTCATCCAGCTATACATGAAAGCCTTATTTTACCATATTAAAAAAAAACATCAAGTTGGCGCCAAAGTATCGAACGAAAACCATTTCTGCTTCATGCTTTCATGTAAATCGTCCCATTTATGAGACGGCACTAAGTTCATAAATTTGCCGTCATTAACAGTAGCAACAATGTTCGAATAAACAACCTCAGGCTTTTACCGAAATTATGCATGCGCCGCTCCTAAATTCCCTATTGAGCAGTAGTTTCCGGTCCACTGCGCCGCTTCAACTCTAACCACCATCGCAACATTGTGGCCAATCCTAAAATGAAATATTAAGTACAGGTACATGCATACGGACGTCGAAAACCGGTGACAATAACAACATTGTAGCACACGTTTTATCACTCAACTCAGAATGATCATTTCGCTCCCGCCACATAATTTGGCACCATTAATAAACGGTCATTATCCTTAAGTTTGTGTGGTTTTTCTCTTTTTATTTTCAGATTCGGTATCCTCTTTCTTAACCGAGGCAGCATTATTCTTCCCGAATCAGGAGTTTCCAACCGATAATTGCGAGTCAAACTCCAATCAGCAGAATCGACAAAATACCAGTTAGGACACGAAGGTGTGGAGTTCCCGTGTGGTTAAATCCAAAGATTGTGTTGCATTTATTCTTCGGACAGTAGATGTTTGTTTGTTTCGATGAATTCAGCTTAGTACGTAGCAAAAATGTTGAATAATAAACTTTCCTTGCGCTGTAATAATAAACCTTCGACTCGTATCACGTTGTTTCGTTTCTCATGAATGGCGATGTTGACGACGATGGGACGGTCCGGACAGAATGTTGTATGAAAAAGTGAAATTTAACACCTTCTGTGTATAGTTACAGTGCCTTCATTGTTTTTAAGACGCCTGACCGTTTGGGTCAAATTTTGCAGCGATCGTGCCCACGTTACCTCCCTATATATGGGGGCAATAAAAAAAAAAACATGCAAATCGAAACATGATAGCTATTTTCCCCTAACGGATGAACACATTAACCGTCACGTCAGCTCATTTTTCATTTCTTTTCGGGTCGCTTAATGCAAGTGAATTAGTTTTATTTTCAATAAATCTTTACCGGATGAGCAGCAACAGAGACATGCTGCTCTTGAAATGAAGCCCAGGCAGGTTCGTATAATTATTCCAAGTGGTAACACGTTCCACGCCATTAAGTCGAGCTCGAGAGTAAAAAAAAAAACTAAGATATCATCCTGAAGCATCTACAAAAAGCGTCCATCATCATCACCATTGTGGGGCTACCGTTTGGCCGACGTCAGCAGTTAAACTACCAAATACTCGCAACGCTTCCACACGGTTTAAAGTTCAAAAAACCGCTCGCGCGTGCGAAAGTATCTAATAATCATCGGCAGCAATCCGCTCCCACACTTAGCTTAGCCCCACATGCATGCATAGCTATATCTAGATGGACATGTTTCGAGCTACCGCGCCGCTGCTGCTGCTGCTGCTGGCTATGAAAGCCTTGCTTATTAGATGATAAATGTTTGAACGCCACAGCAACGGGCACCGATTGACCCGTGCCCAATATCTTGAGAGCAGTGCGCTCTCGCGTGCCTCCCATCAACCGGACTCTACTTCACTCTAGGAGGAGGGCTGGGGAGGGCAAGTAGAGAGAAGAGGCTATAACAACCTACATAGTGCCCTCATGGGTGTCCGCTAGCTGATGGAGAGGCACGAAACGGAGAAGGTGGTATAGAGGCATGGCACTACCAGCGCGTGCGACCGTCGTTTAGATCGCGTCCCAGGCCAACAGTGTGCGGCACCCATCCAGTTGCCCGTGGAGTGTTTTCCTAAATATGATTCGATTTCGTTGTACCGTGCGACGGGGTGTGATTGGAATAGAAAAAAAATAAGGTGGTGACGAAGCATGTCATGATACCAAGGCTGAACATAAAGAGCGGGGCATAGTGCTGAAATGTTCCTGGTCGTCTTCAATTTGATCTTATTCGGTTAGAAACAGACTGTGCAAAAATCATTTGAAGTTTCAATAGAGAGAAATATTTTTTAATTTCAGCAATATTCTGTATTGAAATCAATAAAAATAATTGTTGTTTCCCGGCTATTGATAAATATTGTGCGCCGGAAAAAAAAATAAAACCACTCTCAAAAGCATGCAAAAATCTGAAGGTAGCGGGGATTCATTGAACAAGCCGAACAAATCGGTAATTGCTGCTCCATCTGATCCTTGCTGCAGCTTTTCCACCCCGCCGCTACCTAATAAAGGTAATCGTAAGAGATTACCAAAAATAAACACTACGTCTACTCGCAATTCAAAGAAAACTCTCCCGTCCAAGTGAGGAAAGATTAAATTTAAGGACATTGTGGATAACATTTTGAATGCCTTCGGCTTTCTCGACGAATCGCCACTTCGAGGGCTTATTGACCTGCTTATTCCTATAGTCGGAAACTACTTCAAGCAATTGACTGCATCATGGCCCCTCATTGGTGAATTCATATCTTTCGATGGATTATTCGTCGAGTGAGGATCAAGATATGATCACTTTATTACAATGGAACTGTCGTAGTTTAATACCTAAATTAGACTCGTTCAAGTATTTGATTCAAAATTCTGATTATGATATATTTGCACTCTGTGAAACTTGGCTTTCTTCTGAAGATGAACTAAACTTCCACGATTTTAACATTATCCGCCTGGACCGAGATGATTCATATGGTGGCGTACTTTTGGGGATCAAAAAGTGCTACTCCTTCTATAAAATCTCAATCCCAATACTTTCAGGCATTGAAATTGTCGCTTGCCAAATAAATGTGAAGAACAAAGATCTTTGCATAGCTTCTGTATATGTCCCTCCTAGGACTTCCATAAACCGCCGTCAGCTTTGGAGTTCAGTTAATATCCTTCCATCTCCAGTTCTAATACTGGGCGAATACTGGTACTGGTTGGGGCGAATCATACGATGACAATAGAGCGGGTATTTTCTATGATTTGTGCGACGATTTCAACTTGACTATCTTGAACACTGGTGAAGCAACACGTATAGCAAACCCTCCTGCTCGAGAGAGCCGTCTTGACATTTCTTTGTGCTCTAACTCACTATCATTAGATTGTCTGTGGAAGGTTATCAATGATCCCCATGGTAGTGATCACTTGCCAATTATTATTTCAATCAAAAGTGGTCGTCTAAAAACAGATCAGTCAATTCAAGTTCCTTTTGACCTCACGAGGAACATTGATTGGCAAAAATTTGTATCGGCGGTAACTCTTGGTATTGATTCTACCGATCCTCTACCACCACTGGAAGAGTATCGTTTCTTTACCGAGCTAATCTACAAAAGCGCATTAGAAGCTCAGAAACGACGTGTTCCAAGTGCATCCCTCAAAAGAAGACCCGCCACCCCTGGCTGGGATGACGAATGCACAAAGTTGTATCTTGAGAAATCCAATGCCTTTAAAGATTATCGTAGACATGAAAGATCTGAGCTTTTTGAAAAGTATCTAAAGCTTGAAAAAAAGCTTAAAAACTTACTAAAAGCAAAGAAACGAAACTACTGGCGTACTTTTATCGAGGGACTTTCTAGAGAAACCTCGATGACAACGCTTTGGAAAAAGGCTCGCTATAGGCGAAACCGCTCATCTTCTAATGAGAGTGAAGAATACTCCTCGCAATGGATATTCGACTTCGCTAAAAAGGTTTGTCCAGATTCTGTTCCAGCACAACCAACTTTACGGGATACAGTCCGAAGTAACGGTTCTCTGGATGAACCATTCACAATACTGGAATTTTCAATGGCTCTTCTTTCATCGAATAACTCTGCTCCGGGAAGCGATATGATCAAATTCGACCTTCTAAAAAACCTCCCCGATATCGCAAAAAGACGATTACTTAACCTATATAATTCATTTATGGAATTCAATATAGTTCCACCAGCATGGAGACAGGTTAAAGTAATAGCTATTCAAAAGCCTGGGAAACCAGCGTCTGATCACAATTCTTACCGTCCGTTATCATGCCTGAGGAAATTATTAGAAAAAATGATCCTATTAAGACTTGACCATTGGGTTGAATCAAACAATCTACTTTCAAATACGCAATTTGGTTTCCGGAAGAGTAAAGGAACAAACGATTGTCTAGCGATGCTTTCATCTGATATTCAACTGGCCTTTGCGCACAAGGAGCAATTGGCTTCAGTCTTTTTGGATATTAAGGGCGCATTTGATTCGGTTTCCATAGACATACTGTCAGACAATTTGCACAGTAGTGGATTACCCGGTATTTTGAATAATTTCTTGTATAATTTGCTGTCAGAAAAACAAATGACCTTCTAGATCAACTGACAACTTCTAGAATTAGCTACATGGGCTTACCCCAAGGTTCATGTTTAAGCCCCTTACTTTATAATTTCTATGTCAAAGATATTGATAACTGCTTAGATAATCTATGCACGCTTAGACAGCTTGCAGATGATGCCGTGGTTTCCACGAGAGGTCCACGTGCAGAAACCTTGCAAAGACCATTGCAAAATTCCCTAAATAATCTGTCTTTCTGGGCAAGAAATTTAGGGATCGAGTTTTCACCGCAAAAAACTGAATTGGTAGTGTTTACAAGGAAGCGGTTTCCAGCCCAACTGCGTCTAAATCTTTTGGGCAGAGACATTACCCAATCTTTAACCTTCAAATACCTTGGAGTCTGGTTTGATTCAAAATGCACTTGGGGTACCCACATTACGTATTTGAAACAAAAGTGTCAACAAAGGATCAACTTTCTACGATCAATTTCCGGGACATGGTGGGGTGCTCACCCGGAAGACCTCATTAAACTATATAAAACGACTATTCTTTCAGTTCTTGAGTATGGCTCTTTTTGCTTCCTCTCGGCAAGAAAAAGCCACCTAATCAAATTGGAACGTATTCAATATCGTTGTTTACGTATTGCCCTTGGCTGTATGCATTCAACACACAATATGAGCCTAGAGGTCCTAGCGGGCGTAAAACCCCTGCAGAACCGTTTCTGGGAGCTCTCATTAAGAATATTGATTAAATGTAGTGTCAGTAACAACCTTGTGATTGAAAACTTCGAAGAAATGCTCGAATTGAGCATCCAGTCTAGATTCGTGCGAATCTATCTTAATTATATGTCATCGGATATTAGCCTTCCTTGGTATAACCCCTCTCGTGTATGCTTTACTAACTACAGTTCCCCCATTGACTATGATCTCTCCATGAAACAGGCTATTCAAGGAGTTCCAGATCAACTTCGACCTATCTCAATTCCCCGCATTTTTGCTGAAAAGTACCAACAAGTCAATTGCAATAGAAGATTTTTCACTGATGGATCACGCATTGATGGATCCACTGGCTTCGGCGTCTTCAATGAATACTCAACCGCCTTTCGGAAACTTCAGGAACCTTGTTCCGTTTATGTTGCTGAGCTAGCAGCAATCAACTTTGCATTGGGGATGATTTCCGATATTCCCATAGACCATTACTTCATCTTCTCGGATAGTCTCAGTTCGATTGAGGCTATTCGGTCGATGAAACAAGGTAGGCACTCATATTATTTCCTTTCAAAGGTAAGGGAGCAGATGAGTTTGCTGGTCGAAAGATCATATATGATTACCTTTGTATGGGTCCCCTCACATTGCTCAATCCCAGGCAATGAGAAGGCAGACTCTCTCGCAGAGGTGGGCGCACAACAAGGCGAGATTTATGAT